CCTTCCCCCCCAGTCCTCTCCCCTGTGCCCTGGGGGTGGGGGGGAAGTGGGTGAATGGCTGTGTTGGCTGCTGGCCAGGGGCCAGCCCAGTGAGACTATCACAGTCACTCACCAATATTGACAAATTCCATTTATTCTGTTTGTCACTATTCCTCAAATGACAACTATGATGGCATATTTCTATATTTTGACAGTTATTAGCCCTGCACAATTTCTGTAGCTCCCAGCCTCTCTGGAGAGCAGCTGTGTGGCTGCTGCAGGGTGGGAACCCTGTGAGACAGGATTTAAGAGGCAGCGTATCGACTTACCTTAAGAATGAACCTAAACTAGCATTCACTCCTGATGTCTGATGCGTGGAAAAAGAAGAGAGAAAAACAGATCCTCTGGCCCCAAAGGAAACACTTGATGCTAAGAGCTTGCCTTGCCTGGCTCCAACAGTGTTTGGGACTGAATGGAAGAGTGGATGGGGTGTCACATCCTTTCCTGTGTCGTCAAAGACCTGAAGAAATATTTAAATAACCATAAGAGTGTCATTGTGTTCCCAAAACAAGCAACAAAAGTGACACTTGCAATGTTTTATCTCACCTGGAATGAAAAGAAGACCCTGATCCAGGCAGAAACCTGGCAGAACAGACAGGTAACCCCTCTGTGCAAATGATGTCTAATAAACACCGGGTCGGGAGCGAGGGGCTTTGCTTTCCTGCTGTCCCTTTAGGGTTCAGCCTTCGGAGGGCTGTCACCTTTACCCAGGAATTCTTTGGAATTCTCTTTCTAGAAATGGCTGCAAAATATCTGTGAAAAACTGTTTGTCTCACTACCAGAACCACCTCTCCTTCTTGGTCAGCCCTTGGTTGTCTCTTCTGGCTTATTTCACAGAATCACAGAATCACAGAATCATGTTGGGGATTGGAAGGGACCTCCAAAGATCATCCAGTCCAACCCCCCTGCCAGAGCAGGAACCTCAATGAGATCACACAGGAAGGCGTCCAGGCGGGTCTTGAATGTCTCCAGAGAAGGAGACTCCACACCCTCCCTGGGCAGCCTGTCCCAGGGCTCTGGCACCCTCACTGTAAAGAAGTTTCTTCTCAAGTTGAAGCAGAACCTCCTGTGTTCCAGCTCACACCCATTGCCCCTTATTTATTCTTTAACAACTGCCAAGAGTGTCTCACTGACTGTAACTGTTCCTGTCGAACTCACAGTTCAGGAGAAGCAACGAGAGAAACCATGGTGCATCCTTTTTATCATACTGCTCAAAATATTTATTGTAGGAAGGTATTCAGTGAGGTCTCTATCTGACTCTCAGGTTATGCCATGTGAATCTCCTGTTCTTTAGATAAAGACATACAGGTGCTACAGTCAGCGTATCTCGTGGAGATTTGAAAGCAAATAGTTCTCAGACTAGGAGGAGAATTGTTACTTTGATTTTTTTTCTTTTTTCCCATTCTTGTGGATTGTTTTTGGACACTAATCATCATCATCATTTCAGACTGGATTAAGTTTAATGGTTATAAACTGGAAGAAGGGAGATGGAGCTGAGATGTGAGGAAGAAATTCTTTGGTGTGAGGGTGGTGAGCCAGTGTCCCAGGTTGGCCAGAGAAGCTGTGGCTGCTCCTCCCTGGAAGTGTTTGTGGCCAGGCTGGATGAGGCTTTGAGCAACCTGGTCTAGTGGAAGGTGTCCCTGCTGCTGGCAGGGGGGGTGGGACTGGATGAGCTTTAAGGTCCCTTCCAACCCAAACCAGTATGGGATTCTGTGATTCTTCACAGCCCTTCAGATGATTTCTCTTTCCTCCTTTGCCTCCCACTTTCATTCTTACAACTTTTAACAATAACTCACATTGAAAACTTTTTACTAGTAGAGTGAAAGGCCTCTCACCCGTACAGCGTACTTGTTACCCGTCAGAGACCACCTGTCCCCAGCTTTGCCATCAGAACTCGAGGACTGGCTTCTGCAGCTCGCCGCTCTGCTTGCAGAGACGCTGCTCGCGGTGCTCGCTCGTCTCCAGCTATCAGTGCTCGCTCCTGATCCTTTTTTTACCCTGCAATCAGCCATAGGAGTTCTGTTTTAATCCACAAAACACAAACAGCCCAATACAACCACCAAATGAGTTGGCTTTAAACTTTCACGAGTGGTTGAAAAGTTTTAAACCATTCGGTGTGACATAACGCGAGTCTCTCAGGAAATCTCTGTTCAGCTTCCAGGGAGGCTTGGAGCAGCGAGGTGGGCAAACGCCGCCTGGAAAATAAAATCCTAAAGACATTTTACTGGTGTTTGGGGTTTTTTGGGGGGTGAATCTTACAACTGGGAACTGATGCGGCGGTAAAGGGGCGAGAGATGCAGCCGCGGG